TTCATTTGGTTCAAGAATCTCATCAGGCTTGGCTTTAAGTTCAGCACGATAGGTATTAGGGTCATCCAGGGCTTTAGCAACCCTTTGTTGAACCAATATAACCCACATTTTCTGCTTCTAGATTGAGTAATCCTTCTTTCCATCGAATTGAGACAATTCGACCTTCGAGCCCATCATGGTTCTGTAAAAGGGTGACTACTGTTGGTGGACATGAGTCATCTCTCAATGTATGATCACTCAAGTGCTGAAAAAAAATTCCTAACTAATTTAAAGAAAGACCAATCACAGAATGAATTTAACTAGACCTTCGAACCCATCATGGTTCTGTAAAAGGGTGACTATTGTTGGTGGACATGAGTGATCTCTCAATGTATAAGAATGAAATTAACTACTCTAAGTTGCACGGTTAGAACAGTAAACACAAGCAGTCAACGTGTTGTTAATTCAAGATTACACAACAAATATAAAATGCTCTGTATAAAGAATCCTACACATGCTTCTATGTCAGATAAATCAATAATACAGAATATGCAATATCAGCAATTAATCCACAGATCAATAGGCATGTAAATTTGTAAACCGGATTATATAGAGTTCATTAAGGATTGTTTACCCAAAACCTACAAACAACAGAAAAGTTATAAAAGACGGTGCAAGAAAATAATCAAACACAAATGATTGTTTACCCAGTTCAGCCAAACACGGCCTAATCTGGAGAGTTAAGAGGTAAGTTCGTCACTATGCAAAAAACTTTCAAGAGAAAGTGTACAACTAGAGTGAGTAAACCAAGTCAGGCACCCTTATGGTCATCGATCCACAAGGATCTCGCAAAACACAAACCCTAGCCTAACTCGACTAGACAAATTCTTGCCAAGAACTCAGTATAAATTTACTAGCCACGAATCAGGCCTAAAACACTGCACTACATGTTCTACCATCATCAGATATTGTAATATCATTACAAAATTTACTATCAATCAACAGATTGAAGTAGAAGAAGAAGAATAGACGCCGTAATAGAGAGAGAAGAACTCAAGAGACTCAAAGACCAAAATATTGAATGCACTGAGAAGAGTCTCGAAGAAGTCCCCAAACCCAATAATGGTTTAGAGACAAAATCTCAGCCGATAGATGGGATCAACGGTCCAAAAATGACCAAAAGAAGTACAACTCGTGTGACCAAGTATCAGCCAATGTGTGAGTGCCACCTCTCCAGACCGGGTGCAGGAAGGAAACGCATTTCCAATTATAAAAACGTGGTTTGAGAAACACAACTCCACACTTGTATTTGGTATTAGATTTCGTGTAAAAAGTTCGATATGTTATTAGTATATGGCAGTTATGGATTTATACTATAGTGATGTAATATTCAGATTTTTATCAAAATTGTGTCATTAGATGTGAAGACGTTTTCATGTTACTTTGTCCTGTACTTAATCTGAGATGCTAATAAGAAAATTGTTCTTCTGCCGCTGTCTATTGGAATATTTTGAATCATAATTCAATGTTTCTGCAGAATTAGTGGGTTCTTGAACTAGCATGAACTTTTTTTCTTTATCCTATATTATATCCATGTGTATATACTAATTTTTATGAAGTGTATAATTTATAGGGTGGAATTGACGAGAACGAGGATCCAAGAAGTGCTGCTATCAGAGAATTAAGAGAAGAAACTGGAGTTAGTTCAGCTTATATTATTGCCGAGGTATGGAAGTAAAGTTGACCTGTAGCATTACTATTAGTTTTATTATGTTTTACTGGTCTATAGTTTACAAAATGAAATTAATATGTGCTTAATGAATAAAAGGGTATTCATAATTTAACTTGGGCCCTGTCTCAAAGCCGATTTAAAAAAAAAATAAAAAATAAAAAAATGAAACACATTGTATTGGCTGCAGAACTTCAAATCAGCATAATTGAGCATATCTTTTCTACTCTTCTTCACTCATAGCTAGAACATCCATCAGCTAGCCTATCCTCTCCTTGTAAACTGTATGTGGATGAGTTCATATGTGCATATTAATTATTAAAAGATGTATAGCAGGGAACTGTATTTTTAGGAAAATGTGGGCTGGTATTGGAATGGGAAGAGTGACGGTTAACATATAGGATTACAAATTTGCAATGGGCCTGGAAGGCAACGAGAAGAAGAGAAGCAGACAAGTGGAATGAGCTAGGTGGTGAGATTTCGAGGAATGTGAGATGATGTGATGCAGGTTGGGAAAGGGAAATTGATAAGGATGAATGAAGGTAGGGAGTGAAGGAGCTGACTGATTTTGTTGGACTAATAATGATGCCATAATGTACTTAGAGGCCTAGCCAAGGAGGGTAATTATGGTGGTACATGCAAAGGTAGGAACCTTCGTTAACTCCATATGCTTGTATGCATGCACGGATGTGTCTCTTAAATTTTGTACTGAACCTTCCATGGAAATCTTTGATTCTCATGAGACTTTCAAAAGTATTGTGCATCAAAAATGTTGATTTGCAAAACACATCAATGCAAAACTGTATTCATGATTCATACTTTAGGTCGTGCATATGCAAGTTCTTGAAAAACTAAAATCCATGTTCATAGCGTTTAAGTTACTTTAATTACCAATTCCCTTTAGATATAACTGCAAAATTCTAGAAAATAGCAAACCACTATTGAGGTTTTAGGACAGGGTGTGCTTATTTTTTATTTGTTCTTCGGGTTAACCAATGGAAATCATTCATAAAATGAATTTCTGACGTGGGAATTTAAAGCAATTGCATGGTTTGTTTTTATCCCAGCTTTAAATATGGATGAAAGAAAGAAATCTATTTGTATCTTTTGCTTGCTGAATTTGTTATCAACAAATATTTTAAATCATTTTAATGACAATAAAAGTTTCCATTGACAGCTTTTTGTGAGTTAGCTTTCTGTTTTGTTTTATTATACTCTGGATCTTTCCAGATCCTTTGTTTGTAGCTGTCTTTTCTCAAATCTGCATTATTGAGCCGTTCTTATAGAGGAGTCCTGCTGCAGGTGCCACATTGGTTGACATATGATTTTCCACCAGACGTCAGGGAGAAACTTAGGCATCAATGGGGTTCAGACTGGAAAGGTCAAGCACAAAAATGGTGGGTACATCTATGATGTAGGACAATCCTATTATAAATAGAACATAAGTAAACTTATTTATAGTATGATATCTTGTTATAATAGAGTTTTTCTCTCTTTTTCTTGTTTCTTGTTTAGAATATTATTTCTTCTGTTTATTGATTAGAATATGATTTCTTCTTTCTTTCAGATTAGGATTTTGATTTCTTTGAGGATGTTAATATTCTTTCCTTCTATTGGTAAATCTAGGAAATTATTTTGCCTATATAAACGAAGATTTAGTACACTTTTCAATTTACCTATTCATCATATTGAAAATATTTGTTACATATTTTTGGATCTTTCCCTTTTATTCTTATTTCAAAAATTTCAATTTCGCTTATGCACCAAAATTAGTATTAGAGCAAGGATTTTACATGACATGATGATTAAGAACAGTACTAGTGGAGATGGCCATAGATATAGGGGTTGAAACAACTCTTCAAGATGTTCAGCAGAGCTTAGCTACCCTCATCATTGAATTTAGACATGGATGGCTATTAGCTCCAGCTGATGACCATTTTGACCTGAGTGACTTGGAACTTCTTGTGTACCATCAGATCAAGGGCAACAACTCACAAGTGGTATCAAATTTTCCGCCCAGTGCCCTAAAGAAGATCATAGGGACTACAACCCTATGTTTCGACATTCAGTGACCCAAATAAACAGGGTCAACATCAACCCATCATTAAACCATCCAAACAGGATCAACGACAACCCATCGCCGGCCACAAAGAATAATTTCATTATAATGAATAGGTTAATTGAAAAGTATACAAAGCCTATGTTTATATGGGCAAAATAATTCCCTAATTTTACCAATATAAGGAAAGAAAACTAAAATCTAAAAGGAAACATAATCCTAATCTAAAAGAGAGAAGAAATCTTATTCTAATCAAGAAAGAAAAATAAATACTAAACAAGAAAGAAGAATAATAAACAAGAAAGAAGAATAAAAAGAGATAATCCCTATCATTGTCCTACATCAGTCTGCTTCGTTTCCTCAAAGATGTGCGATATATTTTACATTTTTGATAGAAACTGCAGCTTTGTGGATAGTTCAACTGGGGTACATTTTCTCTTTTTGTGGACTGTTGACCAAAAGCATTTGGTGAGTATGAACCATTGCCTTGTAGATATTTTTACAATTTGTCAAGCTATCTATAAGGCACAAAATTTTAATAGTGGCTTCTGGTGTTACTGACATTTTACCATCAATTACATTACTCTGTTCTTGCATTGTCTCTACTTATTGGGAGAAAGGGATAAAACTCTATTGATGTATGCACATCGATAGGGTTTCGTGTTGGTTTCTACATCTTCAAGACTACGGACGGATTGGCCCTACACTGATACATCATACACGTTATGCTAGTGTTCTAGCGATAGCAATTGCTAAAGCATGAGAGAAGTAAGATTAATTGTACAAGAAAGAGCTTCCTTTCTAGAGCGTGAGTAAATAAATGTTACTGATATCCGAAAGAGTATCCAAACAAACTTGAATAGTGAATTCAGCAACTAGTGGATTAGACTTATCAATTTTCTAAAATAGGAAATGTAATCATATATAAATGAAATCATAGGAGAGGGTAAATAAATTTTTAATCTAGTTACTGTTTTGCTTTCAAACTGCAGCATAGTCATAATACTTATGAGGGGACTAGAATATTCTCTTGTTTTTGGATATATATTTTGATTAATTATTACTAATAACTTAATATCTGCTATACATCCCCCTGGCAGACATACACCCCAACCCAAAAAATTACTATTAGTTTCTGAACTAATATACTTTTATGTATCAGAATTTGCTTTCTTTTCTGTTTGGACTGTATCTCAGCTTATATATCTGACTCTGAAATGTGCAAAACCTCAGGTTTCTTTTTAAATTCACTGGAAACGATGAAGAAATCAATCTTTTGGGGGATGGGACGGAGAAGCCTGAGTTTGGAGAGTGGTCATGGCTGTCACCAGAAGAAATAATCAATCTTGTCGGTCCTCTCTTCTAACATTGAAGAAGCTATTGAATTAACTTTTTTGGTCTTTTCCTGCAGTACTTAAAATTTAACCTTATCCATTTCCATTGCAGGTTGTGGATTTCAAGAAACCTGTGTATCAGGAAGTTATGACAGTTTTCTCTCCACATCTTGAGCAGAACATTGAGAAGGTCGATTTTTGATCAAGGAAGTGTTTATCCTCTGATTTGTCTAGTCAGAGCAAGCCACAACTCGCCTAAGATACACGTATTACATGACTTAGAAATGATCGACAATTTTACGTGTTCCTAATATTTCCAGTGTCATTGTTTGGTAGCATGGCAAATTTGCAAACAAACTCCAGACGGCTTCGTTTGAAGTCACATTTTCATTTGTAATTTGAGAATTCTGGAGAGTTAAATAGGATTGTTGAAACTTGAAAGGGCATATGGTTTAAATCTTGATCACAGTTGTCAAATTAATCTGTATGTGTGGTAAAGTGGAAAGCAAGGCATGATCTTTGTCTAGTCATAATAATTTGGGCATATACGACAATATAACTTTCATCAATTAAGCTCCTTGTACAGATGAAATTTATAGAAAGCATAACAAATGTACGGGTGGCAACATTTCGTTGGCTAGTTCAACAGTATTTATTGTGCAATAGCCAATGANTTGAAAGAAAAATTACAACTTAAACTAATCTTTTGCAAAGTGCGGATGAAGTTGGAAAAATTGCGGCTACCAGTCGATAACTGTGGTATAACTGCGGTCCTTAACACTTTCCCTTATTTGTTTTGGCGACAAATTAAAGAAAGATTTACAACATACGATTTTAATGCACTGAAATTAATTTTTTCATTCATTAACGAAAACAATAAATCACAATTACTGGTGCATAGAGGAAAATCAGAAAACTTAGCAATAGACTTCGAATACCAACTACCCTTTATAATAGCTCGAGTAAAAAATAAATAAATAAATAAATTAAGTGACGTGAATAGACATTTAAATAACTTCTTTTACAACTGAAAAAAAACTTTTAGAACAGAAATAAAATTACAACTTAAAGTATTTTTTTTTTTTTTTTTTTTTTTTTTTAAAAAAAAAAAAAAATTTTTAAAAAAAAAAAAAAATTAAACTTAAAATTTTTTTTTTTTTTTTTTTTTTTTTTGATAACCCAGGTGTCCCAGTTTAGCCGGACTAAATCCTGGACCTCTAGCCCCCGGCCCCTCAGTGACTAGTGGAGGTAAATCGCAGGTTGTGCCCTTGTTGGTTCCCAGGTTCCCACATGGCTTTTACTCCTTCCCCAAAGGGACCCTCCTCCATGGTTATTACATCACCAAACTGCTCCAACCCTTCCTCTGGTTATTACATCACTTGGCTGCTCCAACCAGGAATCGAACTCCCCACACTTGGTTCCAGAGCCCCCCAATGTGATTGTTCCGCCAACTTGGATGTGCCCTGGAGGGCTACAACTTAAAGTAATATTTATAAAGTGTAGTTGAAGTTAGATAAATTGAGATGACGAGTCGCTAAGTAAAGTTGCGGTACTTGATACCATGACTGATTCAATAGCCAAATCGGCTCTAATATCTATGATAAAAATGATCGCAATCAATCATTTAAAAGAATCGTTGAGTCCCTTACAACCCCATATTATGGAATTTTAAGTTGTTCCAAAATCCAAACAGAGGCGTTTTTCTTTTTCCAATTGCAATAAAGCTACTTGTATAAAATTAGATTACAAAAGTTTGAATTTAACGAGCTCTAATATTATATTAAAATTTGAGATTTTATTTTAAAATGTCAATCTTTTTAAGAGGAGGAGTATTAGTCTAAATTCTTATATATTAGTCTAAATTACTGTATATAATTGATGTGAAATTTATCATTAACAAAGGAACGAGCAGTTGCATTCCAAGACTGGTATTTTCAAATGAAGATTCAAACTTATTTAGTCATTGTTTGAGCCCCATTTTCTCCATCAAAATATACTATTGAATAGTGATTTGATATTATTTCAATTACATATTTTTCAATAAATTTTCTTAAACAGTATTTTGATATCATTTCAATCACATTCTTCAATTAAATAATATTATACACAAATATAAAACTTTTCCTTATTTTTTAAACGCACATTTCTCATCAATATATTATTCAAAATGCATTTTTCCTCCCGAAATAGGGCTCAAACAAGGACTTATTTTATAATTTTGAAAAAGTTGTATGAATCTGCAATTCTTAGCATTTAAATACTCAACATTTCATTTTTTATTCTCATTGGACAGAAACATATTTTTTATGATTAAAAAGATGTATATTTAATATAATTAAAATAAACAATGATAAATAAAGGGAAAAAAATGCCTTCAATTACCATAGAACCATGATAAAGATAAGTACACTCACACTCAACGAAAGCAACATATCTTGCAGCTAACCCTAATAGGAACAAATAAGTACACAGGTCACTGAACAAGTTAATTTGATTATAAGCAGTGGACAAAAATCACTTATTTTTAGGGACACTTAGGGCCACCTCTCTTTGTCTTCCAGTTATTATAGCAAGGACAGAACTGCTTGTTTCCATAAGTGCCTGGAGGCACACACAAACACTTTGCACAACATTTCTGGCAGAAGAACATACATGGCTTCTTGTATGCTGTCTTCGAGCATCTTGCGCCACAACGAGGCGCACACTCTGCTAGTTAAAAATGACTATGATAAGATGGATTACATAGTATTCGACAAAAAAATTAAAAAAAATAAAAATAAATAATCAATGGTTTTTCGTACAAAAAATGCGTATAGTGTCTCTTTTTGTTGTCGATAATAAGTAAAAATTTGAGCTGCTTCAAATATCTAGTTTTAAATGTTTTAGACGAGAAAGTTTAAAAGAGGTACCATTTATCAAAATTGTGCACGTATAAAACTCATTGTCGAATATTATATTTGACATAATTTAAATAACCGATTTGTTCTGTACACTCTAACGACTAATGGGATAAGTTTTCAGATGAGGTGGTCGAACAATTCTTACCTTGAGGATGAAGGCTGCCGGGAGTTGCACCGTACTGTACATGAAGCAAAGCAGGCACAAGGGTTAAAACTTGAAAAAGAGCTAAATTTTGATCTTACAAGAATGATTGAGTGAATTCCCTAAGAGATCTTACAGCAGGAAAAGTCCAGGATGGTTGTGGCTGAGGAGATGGAGAATCTGTGATTGTTGCCTGCAAATATTAACACTTAAAATCGAAGAAATCCTAACAAGCACTAAACTCGCCCTATATTTAAGCTTTCAAACGAGGTGTAAAATATAATATCAGAGTTACAAATATTCTGAGTTCGTGTCATACTGCTACCTATATATGAAAATTGCATGTCGATTCTTAATAATAAAACGCCAAGAATTCAAATTTGCATGTGAAGAACTTGAGAGAGAGAGAGAGAGAGAGAGAGAGAGAGAGAGAGAATTGTTGCTTACTTGGTTCTTCATTAGCAGAAGAAACATAACCAAAAGAAACTGCATGAGATAGCATCGCTTCGCAGCCATTCTTAGTCCAAACGAACAAATTCTTATAAATCAAGTTAAAGAGAGAAATTGTTTGTGTAAAATATAAGGTACATGTTTTCAAGAAAATGGTGCATTTATAGGGGAATGGACACGATGAAACAGTAACTAAACGACAACATTGGCAAACCTCGAAAACGAAGCATCATTCTTTGGAATGGCACTGAAATTATTTGGTATTTATTGTTAATTTATTTGATAACGTATATAAAATTTGGCATTTTAGTCGTCTCTTTCGATTTTTAAGTGTGCTATAGAGTAAGTTTTGTTTTATAATTGATTAAATCACTGAATTTATAATTTTATTTCAATCAATTAAAAATAGAATCACGAGAGCTAATTGTACATGTATACATAAGGCGTATTACATTATATTAAAGATTTTATGTGTAATCATTCAAATTCTTTTTTAAGTGCATGTTTGATATGGAAGAAAAAGAAGTTATAAAATCATGTAATAACGAGCAATACTATTCAGTGTCATTGGTGCCAAGCACTATTTTAGGTGACAACTACGTTGTATTAAATGATAAATTCACTTAAATGTAATGTTACATGATTCATTTAATTGAATCAATTAAGTTTGGCCCCCCAAACCGGTGCTTGAGCACTATTGGTATTAGATAGCATTACTCTATACTGATATATATTCGATACGAAGAATTGAATAGAAATGACTGTATACCAAGATGCACAGAGAGTATCTATACATACATTCCAAAACGTAAATTTGAGCCAAAACCGATGCATGTGATACCAATAGGATGACAATGATAGAGTAGTCCTCGCATCACATGCATGTGCACTCACTCACATGTTCGCCTACCATCACTGCAATTCCCAACAGAGAAAACTAACACTAGAGACACTGTAAAGTGTAAGAATCCATTTGTATCCACATACTCACTTCTCTTAGTTTTGTCTTCTTAGGCAAAGGAGTAGATATGAAGAAGTGACATCTCATCTCTATATCTCTATATCCGTTTCTCGTGAACCCCTTTTGACATGCCAGTTCATTTCCAATGCCCATTTGTTGCCATCTATATGCATCTAAACAACCTTGGAGATTGTGTGTGAGAGTGTGTGTGTGTGTGTGCGTGTGTGCGTGTGAGTGAGAGAGAGAGAGAGATTGGTGTCTCAGTTACGTAGGTTGGTTAATTTTCCAACGACCAGTGTCCATCGAGTCGTGTCCAAGAATCACCAAAGTCTGTCTTGTTGGTACTCGATTATTGTACAAATTGGCTATGACATTTGTATAAATTGGATTCTAGTTCATAATCCACCAAGTCATACTAGGCAAGGCCTCATCGGTCTAGCATGATAAAAAAATTTCACGCCTCGACTAACTGGTCAATCACATACGATTTGGTGAAATATTATGTTAAAAATGAATTATAGAAATCTTTATTGAACTACCACAAGATTTTTTTGACTACCTCAATCCCAACTCGTTGACAAAAATTACACACAAGTTGTGTGGGGTGGGAAAAAAAAAAATGTGCCTTGTTTGATAAGTTGAATGCAACTCTTCTCACAAGTTTACACATTTGGATAGCAAAATTTCTCTCAAACAGTTCTTCTCGTGTTTGATACATTGACTGCTAAGTCCCATAAGATTAAGTAAAAGGATTTGAGGGTAGGCGACTACTTCATAGGGAGCAAACTAGTGAGGGAATTCATCTTCCACAAGCCAATTACATCACATACTTAACCGCAAAAAAGCCAAGATGCAGTGTGCAACTCCTCTCAATGCTCCAATGACAAGCAGCTAAGAAGCTTGTTTGACATGACTTCTACTTTTACTTTCACTTTCTATAGAAGAGTTTTTGAAAGAAATTGCCTTACCTTTATTTGAAAAATGATTTTTAGAAGTACTTCCTATTTTAGAAGAGCTTTTAAAAGAAGACATATTCAACCAACCTCCTCTAAAAGCTCTTCTTAATAAAAGAAGTGCTTTCATAAAATCAACCAAAAGGGTCCAAAATTTGCTTTTTGATCTCAAAAACTAATTTTGACATTTTTATAAGCAATGCCAAATGGGCACTAAAGCCTTCTGGTTTTGGTAGCAGTCCCATTGAGGATGCAAAGTTATATAGATCAGCAATGGGCGCTTTACATGGCCATTAATCGGCATGAGATTTCTTGCAGTATTATAAGACAGGAAATGCTAGAGATACATAATTTTTGGTATATAGGGGTGTCCACCCTCTCATGTGGAGTGGGCCCCACATCATGTGAGAAGGTGAATACCCTTATGTATAAAAAAAAATGTACAAGTATCTTTATCCTTATAAGGCCTATCACCTTATGCAAAAATCTTCAAAAGTTCATTAGGTCACAACAAGGGTTCTTACATAGTTACATAAGCTTACCTGATTTAGTACTTCAGGTTGTAGTGTCTACATTGGCTCCAATCTTGTCACTTGGTTCCCGAAGTATAAGAATTAAGCCAAATTGATACTAACACATGGATTACCTCCAGAACCTTAAAGCTCAACTCCATTTCTGATCGGATAATATTAACATGACAGATTCGATGATAAAGAACAAGAATCAAGACATTGGAGGGAAATTAGTTCCTACTCTCTTCCCTAAAAAAGAACTTCCAAAATTTCAGTATAGAGGGACCCCTAAAAACATAAAAATGTGGCAGTGGAAACAGCAATAGATGAAAAATAATTAGAATTGCTGATGTGAATGACAATATCCATCTCCCTTGCAAGCATAGACTGCATCATGGCAAAGACGCCAGTATTCCTTCCAAGGCAGGACCATCCATGGCATTTTTGGCGGAAAAGCGGTTCCCGGAGCAGATGGAACACTGAAGATGGAGAACATGAAATATAATAAGCAAGCAGCCAGATACCGGGGCAGGGGGAGGAATGAAATATGAAGGCAAAGAAGCAGTAGTAACCTTCTCCCAGTGAGAATTCCATAAGCTATCGAGGCAATTGACGACCTAGAAAATGCTGAATAAACACATCTGTAGTGTGGCGATATTAGTTCACCTGAAATAATTTTTTCCCTCGATTAAGCCCTGTTTGAGCCTCATTCTCTAAAAAATCATTTTTACCAAAACTCATTTTCAACCCACGTTTGCTCAATAGAATATTTTGCACGTAAACCCAAAATTTTTTCTTACTTTTAAACCACTCATTCTTCAAAAAAAAAAAAATCATTATTATAAATCTATTCTTCCAAAAAATGGGGCTCAAGAAGAGCCTTGTATAATAAATGAAATTATTGATTGTCTACAAAATCATGTATGAATACTGTGGATTGCGTGAAAATTGAATGCACGTGTATGAATGGGCAGGCAGACTTGCAAATATGAGTATGGATGAATATTGTCCCTAGCTAAATCTAAATCAAACCTAAGGGGAAAAACGAACATCATTAACCAAGTACAAGGAATTTATATAGGGAAATGCAAGGAAAAGTGTTGACTGACTACTTTATAATTGTTTTATACAACAGCTCTCACTATCGTATCATATTAGTAAGAATAATTACTCCATGCTAACAAACGCGTCAAGCAAGATTTACGGCAATTCCAAAAGGTGCTTAAACCATCTGAGTTAGAAACCCAAGTTGTACGGCTGCAAAATGATTTCTACACTAGCTACCCAAAGGAATCTAGCGATATAGTCTGTTATTGCTTTTGCTCCGCTATGGCATAATTGCAAGTCAAAAGAATATTCATAAATACAGCTCAAGGCCATACCTAAGCTCAAATAGTTGCTGTGAAGAAATGAAACCAAGACACTGGATTTACTGTCACTAGTATCAGTTGATTTCTGCAGCTTCCCACTGGATGAACTAGTTCTTGCCGAAGATCTGATCTCTGAGTAATTAATGGCAGATTGTTCACAAGATAAAATTTCAAACCAAATCCCAGATGGAAATCTTCTCTTCCTGACTGACCAAAGAAAGACTTTGGCATACGGAGTGGCATGAATTAAAGATATAGCAACCTCAACAACCATGCAGATAAAGCTCACGGCTGTTTTCAAAATGGTGAAGAAAATATAAAATGCAGATGTAGTTGGTAGTAGAAGTAAAAGTAGGGTAAACAGAAGAGAGCCAACTACATGTTGCTCCACACTGTAGTCATAGCTATCTAATCTCTGACGTAATGAATTCCATTTCCTACCCCTGCAATACATTCATCGATGCTATGAGTGCATGAAAGTTGAAACAGTCAGAAAATCATAATATCTCCAAAGTATATTACATACAAGGTCAACTCAAATTGGAAATTCTCAAGCAGTCAAAAATATCTCCATTTATAGAGCAAGGAAAGGGTGTACGTAAATAAAACTCAATATAGATAAAGCAATTGAATTAATTGACATATCAGTGATACAGTGTGCTCTCCAAATATGAACTGAACATGATAAAACCTATGTTTCTTATTCTGTTTCAGAACTTGATCAGAAACAGAGAGTTATTTTTCTGGTATCCTATAATATCCTTCTTCAAGATATCATACCCGAGCAAAATGCAATCTAGGAGGATACTGCAAATATCATGCCCCAAACCTAGCATCCCAAAATATAGCCTTTCATTTTCTTTTGGTTTCCTTAAGGTCAAGCCTTCACAGGTAACTACCTATAAGCCAAGCTCCTTTCTAGTTCATATATTCTTAGGGCTAACAAAGTTATATTGATCATGGGAAAAAAAGACAATTTTTTAGATATTTGTCTCATTATTGGCGCAATTCGTCACGCTCCAAGAAATTTTCTGGCTGATGATCAACTTGTGAGATCCAGGAATTTCACTGTATTATCTTCCGTTCAACCTAAAATCTTAATCATTTATACTTTGAAAGAATCACCAAACAAATTTTAGGGGCCAGACGTTATCCAAAGTCAAACCTTTCATCAACCTAAAATGCTTTTGCAATAGGACAAGAAAATGGTTGTAATCAAGACAAGATTCACAATTTTTCAGATGCCATTTTGTGCACAAGTTTCAGAATTTGCCTCAACATTTAAAATTTCTATAAACCTAGATGCAGTCAGAAC